GATAAAAAAAAAATGACATTGATAAAGTATCAACATAAATGTGGGAGAAACTTCCTAAAGTTATCTTTTCTACTCAATTCCCTTCCATTTTGGACTATCTTCTTAGCAATTTTAAATGGATAGCTATCTGTAATATTTTTAGTGATCCCAGTAAAGGAAAATACATTCCTTCTATAATGATGAATGTAAGAACTGAATGATCCTCACATACCTAATGTTATTCCTAAGTGAGTTAATGGTTGTGAAAGAACATTGTAAACTAATAAATGTTGAGGATTATTATTAAGATTACCAGTCCCAGGCTGACCACAATCTCTTATCTCAACACAAAAATCCCTTTGGAGTAGCAGGGTTCATTTAATAGCTATCAAAGGACTGATGGCACTGGGAAGGGACTTGGAATCTTAAATATCTAAATCTTCAAGTCCTGCTTTGGTCAACCTTCTCATCATGTTCCAGTATGTACAGAGGTCAAAGACAAACATATACATAGTATATTACTGTCCCCGTCCAACATGGTGTCCTTGGAAGCTAGGTTGGCCCACAGACAGATTTCTTTTTACCCAGGCCAGAAGCAGGAAGTGGTCAAGAAACCAAAGCATGGCGTAGCAGCCTCCTTCCCTTATTTTGCTCTAGGCCTTCAGATGATGAGGAAAGGGAAGTCATGGAGAAGCATACTAAATAGCAAGGGGAAAATAAGGGATTTTTTTCTCTAAGGTCTGAAGGTGAGCTGGTCTAACTGCCCTGTTAGAGACTTTAGCATAGTAACTCATCTTTCCATTGTAGCCACAGGGAGAGAGTCCAAAAAGAGAGGATCCCAAGAAATGAGTACTGTGGTTATTCAACATCTCTGTCTTGGCTTAGCCATACCACTGCAATTTTTCCTTTTTTGAAGTGGGATAGTTAGATTTTCTTCTTCTTTCTTTAAATCTGTTTTCTGTGAAATAGCAATTATTTTTCTTTAACCTAAAATAGTTTGTTTTATGATCAGTACTCCAGGTATCAAAGTTTTTTCTCTTAAATTTTCTTACCTATTAAAAATCATAGGGTTCCAGAGAAGCTGTGGCTATTTTTGAAGATACTATAAGACAAGTTAACAAATTAAAGTCATATTAACATAGTCTGCTTAGGAACTATTAAATGGTTTTCTCAAAATTGCATCTGATCATTCTTCATGTTTTTGCTTTCTGAAATACTCATACTTGGTTTTGTCAACATATCAGAGAGGCAGGGTGTATTATACTTATCTAAAGTGGGTTTGCCTTCCTTGGCTTTGAAAGAAATGAAGGCCCAGACAATGTTCCAGATTGATTGTTGATAGATAAATATGACCAATGCTTTTTGTTGTTGTTGTTGTTTTTCTACTTACAAACTGGGCCTAGGGTTTCATAACCTTGAACTGTTTATGTTCATGTTTCAGAGTGAAAATGAGAAAATGAATGTGAGAGAAAGTGTTAGAGAATTTTGGGAAGCTACTTGTCCATTTCATAAGGTACATTAAGACCCAGAGAGAGAAAGAGAGTTCAATGCTGAAAAGGGCTGCTGTTCCACTTGGGATATCTTGAATGTTTTTCTTGCATACCTTTTCCTCTTTAGTCCTATCTGGTGTTCTGGTGCCTCATTTAACATGAAGAGTTTTAAATATTTGAAGATAATTATGTTTTATGATGTTTTTATTTAAGATTCAAGTATCTTAAGGAAATCATAAATCATGAATAATGGTAAACTTGTATCTATAAAAAATGTGTGAGACAAATAATAAACTTTGCAAGAAAACAACTGCTTTCTAGTTTTGTTAACACATATCTTCTAGTTTTAAACATTATTTCATAAATCTTACAGTAACTAATTAACACAATTTTATGAAATCAGAAGATAGGAGCATTGGTCAGAGATGCATGGATTCAATCATAGTTTCTCGAGCTAACTGGTCTTGGCAAGTTATTTACCTTCCTGAGCCTCATTCCTTTTTTCTCACAAATGCAAATAATAGAACCTATGTCTCAGGGTTTTGGTGAGGACTAAGGGTAATGAAAGGAAGGAAAAAATGTAACACAGATATGGTGTAACATTTAACAGTGGGCAAAAGGAGTGAATGATAGGAACATTTGTCAACACGGATAGTTGATCAAAAAGTAAGTTGGGTGGAAAACAATGAGAAACAGCAGGAGAGGATTGCACAATAACATTTAGGTAAATATACTCGTGGTATTCACATAAAACAATACCATCATTGTTCATAAAAGATGGTTTGAAAAACACACTACATACAGTGTGGTGAAACTGGGATTTTAGATGGGAAATGAAAGAGATTAAAACAAAAGAAAGAAAGTTGGACTTGGATCAGTCATGACGCTTGCCCCCATTTTGTGCACATGAAGTAAGAGAGAATTGGGAAAGAAAAATGATCCTTAGCACAGAGTCTCAGATATAGTAGAAACTCAGAACAGGTGGCTATTTTTAAATACTAGAATGAAGTACTACTCATCAGGGCTTTATTTGCATCAGGGTGACCACTATTGAACTTATCCTTATTTATAGTAATAGGAGTTGAACTAGTGAAGCCAAAAGACCAGAAAGGAACCAGAAGAAGTAGAGAATGGAAAGAATCTTTTTTCATGATAGAGCATAATTAAGATGTAGTAGTAACATCGATTATTGAGTGTTTAACATTCATTCACTTTTTTATTCATTCTTTATCCAACCAATATGTATTTATTGAATGCCTGTCTGTGGGTTACTGTTCTAAACACTGGAAATACAGCAGGTAAATAACAAACCCTGATCTTTTTTTTTTTTTTCTTTAGTACTGAGGATTGAATACAGCAGTGCTCTACCACTGAGCTATGCCCCCAGTCCTTTTTAATTTTTTTATTTTGAGACAGGATCTCCCTAAATTGTCCAGACTGGCCTCACTTAGAATCATCCTGCCTCAGACTCCCAAGTAGCTGGGATTGCAGGTGTGTGCCACCACACCCTGCTTGACAAACCCTGCTCTTATGGGGTTTCTAAGGGGAGAGAAGCATTAATAAGTAAAATATACAGTATGTTAAATGGTGATGTGTCCTGTGGAGGGAACAACAGAGAAGGGATAAACAAGGTGGGAATGATTACAGTTTTAAGTGGGGAGGTCAGGGAAGGCTTCTCTGAGAGATATTATTTCAACCATTTCATGTATTGGCTCTTTTAAGTCTCTCAACATAGGAAGAGTTACTTTGATTATCATGGTGCTGCTTTCCAGATGAGTAAACTGGGTTCCTGAGTCCTTCAGCTCCTTTTTCTAAGATATTATAGGTGCTTATGAAAAGAGACAGGGTCAGGGTTCAAAATGCCTGGGTCCACAGCTAGAAGGGATGCTGAGGGATCTACCAGAAAGGGGGAGCGGGAATGTGGTTTGAAAAAATACTGACTCAATATTATCACAGTACCCATTTTACATTTTGAGAATCCAAAATAAACATCTTTTGCTTGGGAAAAAACAATGTCAGTAAAATTGGGCAAAGTCTTCTGGGCTACTGTGAGTACCCAGAGGTTACAAAGGATATGGCAACTATTTTCATTATGAAATCTTGAATTAACCTAGCCCTTTTAATGTCTTGCTACAGGACTGTGAACCCCAAGAGAGTTAAGTGACTTGCCCAACATCACATGGCTTGTTTGTTACAGACCCAGGACGGAAAACTGAGCTTGAAAAACAAACAGCCAGCACAACCACACAGTGGGGCTGCCCTGCCAAGTTCCCTTGGCTGTGCGGTGTCTTGTTTAAAGTGCAGAGAAGACAGGTTAACTCCAAGGCTCAGGTCGGTGAGAGTGAATTAGTGAGTCAAGGTAGACCTAGAAGGAGAGAGGGAGTATAATAGAAAGAGAAGCAACAGGATGCTCAAATGAAGGAATGAGAGGGGAAGAATCCGCGAAGAGGCAATGTGAGATTCAAGGTGGCTCTTTCCATCCCAGGAAGGAGAGAGACAGAGAACGTGCACCACGTTCAAAAATGTTTTCTCGATCTCAATAATCCCAATTTCAGCCCTATGGGATAGCAATGAATAGTGTTGTTTTGTGGATAAACTTAAGTGCAGAAGAACTACTTAAGCTCACAGGGCTGCCAAAAGTCTCCTGATCACGTAGATTTTTCTCTATGGGTCTCTTTCTTTGTTGCCATCATTTTTCCCTCAGCCTTCTTTCATGTGTATAAGGTGAAGTATTGGGGGTTTTTACCTTTTTACTAAAATAGTTATCAAGTAGCCAATGATAGCTTTAAGTATGTGGTTACCATGACAACATCGCCTTCACTAGCTTCCCCACCTTGCTTCCAGAATCATATGTCACAGAGTAGGTTCCTTTCCTTTGTGGAACTTCAACAGTTGTAATTTCACACCGTGTTTGGGTGGTTATTTGCTTAACGTTCGTCCTCTACCCGGTCAGCTTCATAATGGCCAGGACCAGCCTGCTTTTGCACCAGTGTGCCCCCAGCGTTTTGCACAATACTAGCACTCAGGCTCTTTGTAAACACTTGCTGAGCAAATGTTTTGTGGTTTCTCTCAGCTCTTTTCTGAAAGTTACATGGACAGTAACCTTCAGCTCATAATTAGGTTAATAGATACTGTATAACGAGTCGGGCCGGTATTTACAGGTAGTACGCGGGTAAATGAATACACACATGCGTACACACGACTGCACCAACAGCCCCAGGCAGGTGCACTCGGCAGGAAGCGAATGCTGTAGAGAGTCCCCACACCACCGCACTGGCCCAGGCAGTCTCCGCAGCGTGGGAGGGCACCCGGGCGACAGCGCTGCGGGAGTCCCCAGGCCTGCGGGCCCCGCGGGCAAGTCCCGGGGCGGTGGAGGCGGTGGCGGCGTGGGCGGTGAGCTGCGCTGTGATTGGTCCGCGCGCGCGGGAGGGGCGGGGCTGGCGGCGGGAGCGGGAGGCGGGCGCTCAGCGAGAAAGGGGTGTGCGCGGCTGCTGGTGCCGTAGTTTCAGTATAAACAAGGAACCCGACTGGTTAGGCGGATTTTCTGCCCTTCTTCCCGCGCTCTTTYCTTCCCGGTCCTTTGGTCGTATTTGTAGGCGCGCGACAAACAGCCAGGAGGCTGAGGACCCGGGGTCCATCTGCGGGTAGGTTGTTCCCTGGCTGGGCTGTTTTCCCGGGACCGGGGCTCGGCGGCGTGAGCGCGGGACTGGGCTGCGCGCTGCGCTCTCTTTGGAGACCCGGGAGCTGCACTGGGACTCAGGGGAGCTCTCAGACTGCGCCCCGGCTGCCGGCTGAGCTCTGAGACGGAGGGAGATCTTGAGGCGAGCGAGCGCTGACCCTAAGAGCCCTGAAAAGCCGAGGCGAGGGGAGTCCCATGCCCGACCCCCGCCAGCTCCTGGGACTGACCGGGTCCCAACAGGTGCTAGGCTGAGCCGCTGGGACCTGGGCAGGGATAGGCTGGGTTGTGCCTTGCTTCTTTCTCTCCAATCCTACAGCCTGGCTTTCTCTCTTGAGATCTCGGTAATGTTGGAGGGTTTGTCTGAGGCTAGTCACCTTCATCCTTTTCCAATCTCTTTTCTTTCTGTGCATTCCTAGGTTGTTTCCTTCTACCTGGCCAGTTTTCTCGTGTGTTTGTATGTGTATGGGGTGTTTATTTTTGTTACCGGTTCCGTATAATCTAAGGTCTGATTTAGGTAGGGATGGGGAAACAGGAGTCATGACTCTCATCCCTCAGTATCTTTAATTCCTCGGTTCACGTAAGTTCTCCTGGGAACCCCCGAGCCGCCTTGTTTTTTTGTCTGAGCTCAGGTGAATTACCTTGGGACACCTTTCCAGGGATACTAACATGAGTTGGGGGTACGTGGACGCCTCATGGACAGACAGCGTGAGAGAAGCTCCTTTTTAAAGGAGATCCTTGGGGCCAGTTTCAGTGTTGTTTGAGAGGAAAGGGCAAAATAGGGAGCTGGGGTTTATGTGTGTGCAAAAAACAAACAAACAAAAAAACAACCCCAAAACAAAACGGTTTGACTCTTGCTTCCTACTTTACCTCAAGCAAATTGGCGCAGTTTAAGCAAACAACGTTGCTAAGTCCCCTGACTGCGTCTAAGAGCATTTTTCTCTTTGAATATAGATGTATCGTTTTCACAGATGAATTCGGTGGGTATGGGTTATCCAGCTGGATATGTACACATATTTGTGTATGTATGTTTGGGTGAACGCGTCTCCAAGGAGTCCTTCGTCAGCACCACCATGTGACGATGGTCAGGAACTGCTGGTGTGCATAGATCTATATTTAGCCCTGGTGATCTCTCATGGCCTGGGAGGGTCTCTGAACTGGGTGCATAAAGGGGAAGAGTCCAGGGATCAGGGTACTGCACTCTTGAATGATGTCTGGCACAGTCAGACTCAGATGGGATGAATAATTATTCTTTCCCCCAGAGAACAGTAGCTGGAGCTTGCCATGTGATGACTGTGCCTTAATTTAAACATAGTTGGGACTATGGTGGTCAGTCTATACTAAGAAACAAGGAGGTTTAAAATTAAGCAGAATGGAGATTTGGGAGGAAATAACAGGTCAAATGAGCATTAGAGCAAATGTAGAATTGATTTATTCAAAAAAAGCTATAAAAATGTTTGGTCGTTGAGATTTTTCACAGCAGAAAAAAAGAATGGCAGCTGCTAAACCCTAACATTAATGACAGTTTTATTTGGGGGTGGGGGCCGTTTATGAGAACCCAGGGCACTTTTGACAGAAGTCATGGTTCACAAGCAGTGCTGTATTATTCCTTTCAAGCAGATTTTCTTGAGGATGAGGACATCAGCCACTGACTAGCAAGTTTCTTGTGGGCATTTTTTCCCTGCATGTCAGTCTCCTTTGTTTTCCTAGAGGTGGCAACCTAAGCATTGGCCTTCTACTTTCCAGTTGTCTAATGGAGGTTTCAATTCTTAAAACTTATTTCTCCTATAGTACATTTTCAGTTTGCTCCATCTTATGTGCTCCACCAGACATTTTATCTGATACCTACCATACCTGATATCTGGGGGATCATACTGTCTTTTGGAGAAGAGAATAACCACAAAATTATTTGCCTTTATCGTCCCCCCCCTCCCTAGGTTGGCCTCTGTCTAATCTAATATAGTCTTAAGTATGCATTCATTATTTATCATAATAATACATAGTTTTGTGCTGTTATTAATGTTTCATTCTTATAATCTGAAATCTACTACTGGTAAATAGAGTACAATAGATTATATAAAGCCAATTGAATACCACCCATCTAGGGGAAAGAAAAAAATGGTAAGAAAATTGAGGGAGGAATCTGGGAGTGTGTTCCCATGCATGCTAGGTGAGATTCCCAGTGTGGCACAGGAATTCATGCGCTCAGCTTTCTCAGTCTCCAAAGGTTACCTGAAGAATTGAACTTGAGAAGAACATTTGGGTAATCCCAAAGGAGCACTGCCCTGGAAAGGAGATGGGGAAAAGAGGGTACTCTGCCTTGCTTGGGAGAAGAATCAGGACTCCCTGTGCAAGGACTGAGACTCTTAATTCTGATGCCACAAATAATAAATGGAAAAGTTTTTATAACATTTTGGGACATCTGAAAGAGGCTTATTGTACTGCTGAACCCACTGTGAAAGATTTATGGGGATTCTTGGTGGTGTTGGTGGTAGTTGAGATCAGGTATTTCCTCTTTATACCTTTCTTTTTTTTTCAGAACTATAGTAGTTTTTGTTTGTTTGTTTTTTTATTTTTTGGTTCTCCAGTTAAATCTACAAAAATTAGATCTGTACAAGCCTTGATTATTTAAAATGACAGTTGTAGCCTAGTCCTATGGGAATATTTCCATCCTGGGAATGAGGAGACTTGGGTTCTGGTAGAGCTAGAGCACTAACAGGTCATATGTCTTCTCCCTGTACCTGCAGCATCTGTAAAATTGACATGGGGAGTTGAGCTACATGGTTTCTGGATGCCTTTTCTCTCTGTCTTAACTGCTTTATTTTGTGCTCTCTCCACACTTTTGTACTGTTAGAGTGGACAGTGAAGGATGAAGTGATGTGTCATTGATGTTCAGTTACTTTCTGGGTCCATGGACATGAAGAGAGAAGAGTGAAATTCTTTTTATTGATAAATTCACATAGAAATCCTATATTTTCTTGAATTTCTCTTTGTTTTTCTCCTATAAGTGTGAAAATTTGAAATTACAAATTACCAATAAATGTTTCTTGGCCTGTTAAATCAGTATTATAATCCACTACATTTTTAATTTTTATTTTGATCAGTCATTTTTTCATCAGTTTATGTATTTATTATTTTCTCTCAAAGTATGTATATACTTGGAAGTCATTCAGTTGATTCAGATTTTATTAGGAAACCCTAATATGAAAATCAGTTTAACACAGAGAAAGTAAAAATTAGTCTTATAAGAAAGGGAAACCGCTTATAGACCAATAATACCATTCTTTTTAGCTAAATGAGAAGAATGGAAGGGGAGGGGTAAGCAGTTTTTTAAGAACTTGCATCCAGAAAATAAAATTATCCAAGTAACTGTGTTACATAATAAAATATAGAGAAAATCTTACTTTTAAAATGCTCTCACTAAGTGCCAGATCCTTTTCATGCTCCATGAACTGGGTTAGAAAATTAAATATTTTAATTGAAGTGTTCCCCACATGATATTCTATGGTTTAGCTTGAGATCTGTCATGTATAAATGACAACTCATCTACATAGAGCCATACTGTTCAATGAGGTAGCCTCTAGCCACATGGGGATATTTACACTTAAGTTTATTTAAATTGAACGAAATTAAAAATTTTATTTCTCAGTTGCGCAAGTCACATGTTAAGTGCTCAGTAATCCTTGTGGCCAGTTTCAACTATATTGGACAGTGCAGAAGAGGGACATTTCCAGGATCCCAACCCTTTTGACAGTGTTTGATTAGACAATGATGCTTTTGATTATCCAGAAAATCACTTTTGTTCTTCTGGGAAAATGAAATAATTAATTCTCATCATAGATGGGCATCTAAGATATCTGGAAATATAACTGACTGGCTTTGTTAGCTAGTATGTCTTCATTTCTACATCATGAACAATGCTCATGCTATGATCATAGGCACCAATTTCTCAATATTTTTTCCCCAGAACTCTAGTTGCCTTTCTTTTGCTTTTCTAAATCATCGCCAACTGTTATTGCTGAAAAAGCACCAACCATTTGAAAGGCAGGGCATGAGGAGCCATCTACTGTTCAAGTCAAGAACTGCATGGAGTTGTGGACATAAAGACAGTTAATACACAGGAATGGCAGCCTGTTTTAGATTCACTTCCCACACAGGAAAGCTTCATTTCATGGGAAAGTTTTAAATGAATTTCCAGATCTATTCAGATATGCCATGAAATATCATTTTGTATGTTAATAAACTGCTAACAGCATTCTCCCAAACAAAAGATAACAAATCTTAGCTTTGTTTTTCTTCAAAGGAAACCAAAGATTGTAAATATTTGAGTCACAAGTCCTTCCTCCATCAATTAAGAATTAGTGAAGAATTTTTTTTTTAAAGTAGCATCCATCCAGGAAAGATCAAGCAAAATGTAGATTTACTTTTTGTATGAACACCTATAACTTAGATCAGGAATTAACATAGCCTTTCATCGTGGAGAGAAATGGGATCTTCCTTTCTCAAAAACATGGACTTTTGTCCTCTCTTAACTGGGAAATCTACGAAGTATTTGGAACTCAGCTCCAAAGAATGTACTTATCTTGGAGTTAGTTACTTTCTGTTCACATGCCAAAGAAGTGAGGTGATTGTGTGTTGTCTACTCTGGGTTGCCTTGTCCACACAATACCTCTTTTTCTCAAGGAGGTTAGCCAGAGGTGGAGCTTTTCTATAGTTTCCACAGATGCTCTTAAAAATCTCTGCCTTTGTGACTTCCCCTAATGAAAGAAATGAGAGAATAATCTTCTATAAATTTTCAAGATCAAAATAAGCTATGTTTTAGACAGTGTCAGAAGTTGGACTTCTACCTTTCACCTTGACTCAAATCTACCATCAGGTGCACACACCCTGGGAGTGTGCAGTGAGTCTTTGTATGCTAAAGTCTCACATTGCCAAAAGGAGCCTGAAAGTACCTAAAAGTACCAGATG